TGTGGTGTGTAAGGGTGCAGGGGTCAGGGTGTGTAATGTGCAGGGGTCAGGGTGTGTAATGTACAGGGTGCAGGGGTGTATAATGTACAGTGTGCAGGGGTCAGGGTGTGTAATGTACAGGGGTGCAGGGTGCAGGGGTCCGGGGAGTGTAATGCACAGGGTACAGGGGTCAGGTATTGATGTACCTGGAATGTTTTTAGCTGATTTATCTGGTTTATTTGGGTTTTAACCTTGACTTAAAGCTTTGTCCACTCGGCCTAGTGTGTATATATTGGACTATTCCCAGTCCGGTGCACAAACCCTCCCCATCCTGTGAAACAACAGACCACATCTTCTCTTTGCCCCGAGTAATCATTGTAAACCCCCACCCCCCTTCGCGCCCTGATGAAAACGGCTGTAAATGAATGAAAACCGGATATAAACAGATTAAAAAAAAGGATGTAAACGGATGAAAAAATGGATGTGAAAACTGGATGTAAACTGATGAAAAACAGATGTAAGCTGATGTAAACTGATGAAAACTGGATGTGAACAGAAAAAAAAAAACGGATGTAAACTGATGAAAAACGGATGTAAACCAATGAAAACCAGCTGTAAACAAATGAAAAAACAGATGTAAAACAGATGTAAAATGAATGAAAAAACGGATGTACACTGATGTAAACAGATGAAAAAACAGATGTAAACTGATAAAAAACTGATGTACACTGTGAAAAATGGATATAAACACATGAAAAAAAAACGGATGTAAACTGATGAAAACAGCTGTAAATGAATGAAAAACGGATATAAATAGATAAAAAAAAAGGAAGTAAAAGGATGAAAAAATGGATGTGTAAACAGGATGTAAACCGGATGTAAACAAAAAAAAACAGATGTAAACATGAAAAAAAACGGATGTAAACTGATGATAAACGGATGTACACTGGTGAAAATGGATGTAAACGAATGAAAAAATGGATGCAACACTGCACCCATATGAAATTTTTATCATTTGTTTGGGACAGAGATATCTTTATTTTGGTGGTATGTAATCATCGCGGGGGGGGTTATTTTTTCCTAAACAAACTGAAAATTTTGAAAAAAAAAAACCAACTTTCTTCTTAGTTTCTGTTATAAAATTTTGTAAATAAGTTATTTTTCTCCTTCACCGATGTGCGCTAATGAGGCTGCAGTGATGGGCACTGATTGGAATAGTGACACTGATAGGCGGCACTGATTGGAACTGTCATGTGACACTGATAGGCGGCATTGATTGGAACTGTCATGTGACACTGATACGCAGCATTGATTGGAACTGTCATGTGACACTGATAGGCGGCATTGATTAGAACTGTCAGTGGCACTGATACGGGCATTCATTACTGTCAGGTGACACTGAAAACGCAGCATTGATTGGAACTGTTAGGTGACACTGATACGCAGCACTGATTGGAACTGTTCAGGTGACACTGATAGGCTGCATTGATTGGCACTGAAAGGTGACACTGATACGCATGGCACGGATTGGAACTGTCACGTGACACTGATACGCAGCATTGATTGAAACTGTCAGGTGACACTGATACGCAGCATTGATTGGAACTGTCAGGTGACACTGATACGCAGCATTGATTGGAACTGTCAGGTGACACTGATACGCAGCATTGATTGGAACTGTTAGGTGACACTGATACGCAGCATTGATTGGAACTGTCAGGTGACACTGATACGCAGCATTGATTGGAACTGTTAGGTGGCACTGAAAGGCAGCACTTTTATATGGCACTGATTGGAACTGTCAGGTGACACTGATGGGTAGCATTGATTGGAACTTTTAGGTAGCACTGAAAAGCAGCAGTAACATGATGGCACATTGATTGGAACTGTTAGGTACTGAAAAGCAGTCTATATGGCACTGATTGCATCACTACTTGGCACTGAAACGGGCAGCACTCATATATGGCACTGACTGACGGCACTGATAGTTGGAGCTAAAAGGCAGCTCTGATGGGCACTGATGATCAGTGTAGATGTCCCCTCTGAGGAATGCTGATTACCGGCTCTCCTCACCCGCTGTCAGCGCTGACTGACGAGAACCAGCATTTCCTAATTACATGCGATCAGCTGTGATTGGAGACAGCCGATCATGATAGAGCCGACGTCATCGGCTCTATACTGCGATAAGTGATCCAGCGCACCACTGATGGCCGCACCTCGTGTCCCTGGGGGGGCACTCATGTGCAGCTAGAGTGAGAGGACGTCATATGACATCCACCCAGAATGAGAACACCGCCACCTGTCCATCATTTCCCCAATATGGCGGGTGGGAGGCGGCCAAGCTAATTTCATTTAGTCGCATTTGTACCAAAATCCATCCCGTTAAGTTTAATTTCATTTTCAACGACATTAAAATTTTTCCGATACATTCAAATCGAACTTGAATCAAAAATATCAAATCGATCCGATTTCATTGTGAAGAATAGCCGATTCTATTATATTTGAAATTTGCAAGGCGGTTATATTCTACTTTATTTTTATCTATCCTATCATTTTATTTTCTATTTTATTCTGTTCTATTCTTTTCAAAATTTGAATTTTGGAAGACAGCTATATTCTTTTATTTTATTCTATTTTTTTTCTAATTTCTTTCCTACTTTTTCTATTCTATTCCTTTATTTTCTAATCTATTTTATGCTATTCTTTTATTTTCTATTGAATTCCTTTATTTTCTATCCTCATTTATTTCCAAAGACAACTATATTCCTTCTATTTTATTCTATTGAAAATTCACATTTGTAAAGATGGCTATATTTTCTATTCTGTTCCTTTATTTTCTATTCTATTATTTTTTTTAATTTCAGATTTCAGAAGACGGGTTGATTCTATTTTATTCTATTCAAAATTTTAGGATATATTCTATTTTATTCTAATCAAACGCACAGGCTATCCAATACCACCAACACAAAGCTCCGTTTGTGGGGGGGGGGGGAAAAAGGACGTAAATTTAATTTGGGTGCAGCATTGCATGACCGTGTACTTGTCAGTTAAAGTAACAGAGCGCCATAACGCACAAAATGGCCTAGTCGGGGGGGGGGGGGGTTTAAATCCTCAGGAGGGGGAGGGGTTACTCTACAATTATTGGGTTTTTTTTTTTTAGCAAAGACATAGAATATATTTTGGCCTAAATTTATGATGAAATTAGATTTTTTTAAAAAATTTTTTCATTGGATAAGTTGTATACCAGAAAGTCAAAAATATTGTTTGTTTTTCAAAATTATCGGTCTTTTTGTTTATAGCGTAAAAAATTTAAACATCGCACAAAACCAAAACAAAGCTCCATTTGTGGGGGAAAAGGACATAAATATCATATTACACACACACATATAGTCTGAAGGAAATGCGTATTTGCTCCCTGGCTGATGGTGAATGTTCGCCCCTCACACAGAAATGATCGGTCTAACAATGGAATGTTCGCCCCTCACACAGAAACGATCGGTCTAACAATGGAATGTTCGGTGTAACACAGAGAGAGACAGAATACAACAACAAATTCAGCAGAAATGCGTCTAACAAATGATGACTGATCTGCATGTTCATGAGGGAAAGAAGGATTTGATCCCCTATCATTCAGCAGGATTTCTGGCTCCCAGGTGTCTCTCATACAGGTAACAAGCTGAGATTAGAAGCAGTCTCTTAAAGGGAGTGCTGCTAATCTCATTGTGTTACCTGTATAAAAGACACCTGTCCACAGGAGCAATCAAACCATCGGATTCCAAACTCTCCACCATGGCAAAGACCAAAGAGCTGTCCAAGGATGTCAGGGACAAGATGGTAGACCTACACAAGGCTGGACTGGGCTACCAAACTATGGCCAAGCAGCTTGGTGAGAAGGTGACAACAGTTGGTGCAATCATTCACAAATGGAAGAAACACAAAACAAGTGTCAGTCTCCCTAGGTCTGGTGCACCATGCAAGATCTCATCCAGAGACTGCGGACAGTACAGATGACCAGACTGCAGACAGTACAGGGCATGAACAGACACTGTGAACCTTTAGGGAGGGAGTGGGAGCAGGTACCTGAATTTGACATGTCCAGCCCTGTAGTCTTCCCGCCCCGGCATCTGTGACAGCCGGGTGCCCTCTGCGCATGCGCGAGAAGCGCTGCGCTGTGTGAATGGCCCCGTCGTCTCCTGGGACCTGTCATGTGTCCCAGAAGACGCCGGACCATTCACAAAGCGCAGCGCTTCTCGCGCATGCGCAGTGAGCACCCGGCGGTCACAGAAGCCAGCGCTGGAGCGAGGAACAGGTGAGTTCCTGCCGCAGAGAACAGCCCGATATTCTGACATGGTGGCGGCAGAAATACCGGACCGGCCGCTTTATATTCGCTCCATAATAAGACGCACTGACTTTCCCCCCCTTTTTGGGGGGGAAAAAAAAAGTGCGTCTTATGGAGCGAAAAATACGGTATATATAAATTTTGAATTCTTCTTGCACGACATCCAACCTCCATTATCACAGGGAACAGGTAAATACGTACAGATACAATCCCTCGGGTTCGGTTCACCTTTGGAATTGTACATGAACGAACTGTGCATTCCCTGTGCGATTTCCATGCAGTTCAGCGCCGTGTCATTTTTTCCCAATGAATGGGCTGAATTCGCACCACTTTTAGAAACTCGCTGCAACCAGATCGTACGGCGCTCCTGTATCATGTGATCTGCTGCAAACGAACGCACTGCGCTTGGGGTGACATAAAATCCTCGCCGACACCCGCTGCAGATCGCAACTGAAGTGTTTTTTTGAACGCCGTGCATGGAACGCAGATTTCTCGCACTGCATTCTGGCGAATACGGGGCCTCAGTACCAGAATAATTGACAGAAAACATGAAAAAAAAAAAAAAACCAACCCGAGGCTTTATTTCTGGCGCTTCACTCCGCAGAATGAAGACGATCCACAATCATATAAAATAAACAGTACAAGGACAATTGGGGGGGGGGGGGTAAAAGTCTGAGAGGTTTCATGCAGACAGGTCGCTGTTGTCGAACCTCTCCTGGTCGTATACTTCCGCTACTACTTTCCTTCCAGCGAACCAGCGTCCGTTCAGGGCCTGGATAGCTTTGTGAGTCTCGCTGACCATTGAAAATTCCACAAATATTTTCACGATGATTTCGGCGTCTTCCTCCTCGCCCTGCTTCTCCTGGTAAATAATCACCCGGTTCACTGCGCCAAACTTGCCGCACTCTTCCGTCACTTCCCCTTCCAGATCGTCGTCGATGTCTCGGGGGTCAACCATATTGCGCAGGACCATGACTGTGGACTGAAGGAGAGGAACAGCAAAGGGTTAACAATGGAAGAGGTGGGAATACCTGATGCCACGGCTGGGCGCATGCTAGAAGACCAGGGACCAATTCGCTGCAATTATCACATGAAGTCCTAATTTTTTGGGGTCACCCAAATGGGACAGAAAATCTCACTCAAACCTGCAGGAGCTCAGGGAAAAGTAGCTTCAACCCTTTCACTGCCACAATGGTTTGCGTTTTGTTTTTTTGGGGGTTTTTTTTGCACACATTTAAAAACATGTTTTAGGCCTGAAGATGAGTGGATTCCCCCATTATATGTGTCTGGAAAGCAGAACCCTAGAGCAATGGGGGGTAACATTTCCAATATGAGAAGCCTCAAATGAGCCCCCCCCCCCCCCCCCCCCCCCCCCCCCCCCCCCCCCCCCCCCCCCCCCCCCCCCCGAGCACGAAGATTTGTGCATAAAATTCAGTAAATATCAGAGACAGAAGCAGAAGAGATCTAGTCAAAGAAAAGACTGCGGGCACGACACGGGAGACGGTCGGAGGCCGCGGGCACGACACGGGAGACGGTCGGAGGCCGCGGGCACGACACGGGAGACGGTCGGAGGCCGCGGGCACGACACGGGAGACGGTCGGAGGCCGCGGGCACGACACGGGAGACGGTCGGAGGCCGCGGGCACGACACGGGAGACGGTCGGAGGCCGCGGGCACGACACGGGAGACGGTCGGACACGCCGCGGAGACGGGGCACGACACGGGAGACGGTCGGAGAGGCCGCGGGCACGACACGGGAGACGGTCGGAGACCGCGGGCACGACACGGGAGACGGTCGGAGACCGCGGGCACGACACGGGAGACGGTCGGAGACCGCGGGCACGACACGGGAGACGGTCGGAGACCGCGGGCACGACACGGGAGACGGTCGGAGACCGCGCGGCACGACACGGGAGACGGTCGGAGACCGCGGGCACGACACGGGAGACGGTCGGAGACCGCGGGCACGACACGGGAGACGGTCGGAGACCGCGGGCACGACACGGGAGACGGTCGGGAGACCGCGGGCACGACACGGGAGACGGTCGGAGACCGCGGGCACGACACGGGAGACGGTCGGAGACGCGGGCACGACACGGGAGACGGTCGGAGACCGCGGGCACGACACGGGAGACGGTCGGAGACCGCGGGCACGACACGGGAGACGGTCTGACAACGCCAAAGCACTGCCGTCTAGTTAGCTGCATCATGGTCATCTGCCGTGCGCACTCCTTCATTGGCTGCTGGGCTGCATGTCAGATAGGCAAGCCCAGAGGCCAGCTTGAAGGAACGCGCAGCGCCACAAGAGCTTCTGCAATCGACAGGATCTGCCGGAAAGGAAAGTCTGCAACAGATCTGCATCTAACCGAAGTGTTGGATTCTCCGTCTTGTCCCCCGCATCCAACTCTAACGTCCGTTAATAAAATGGTATCTTGAGGGGCAATAATAAAGGCTAATAATGCACTAATAGAATATTTATAAATAGGTGATATATCATGTTTGGACGGATAACAGGGGCTCTGGAAATGGCTTGACATTGAGTTGTGTGATAGTCTATGGCAAAGGTGTCAAACTGGCAGCCCTCCAGCTGTTGAAACAAGTCCCATCGTGCCTCTGCCTTTTGGAGTCATGCTTGTAACTGTCAATCTTGCACTGGCTCATGGGACTTGTAGTTTGGCAACAGCTGGAGGGCTGCCAGCTTCACACCTGTGGTCTATGGAGTCCTCCTAATCAAGTGGTGGGTAACTGTGGCCTTCTGGCTGTTGGGTAACTACAAGTCCCATCATGCCTCTGCCTTTTGGAGTCATGCTTGTAACTGTCAATCTTGCAATGCCTCATGGGACTTGTAGTTTGGCAACAGCTGGAGGGCCGCCAGCTTCACACCTGTGGTCTATGGAGTCGTCCTAATCAAGTGGTGGGTAATCAAGTCTGGCTGTTGGGTAACTGTGGCCCTCTGGCTGTTGGGTAACTGTGGCCTTCTGGGGAGTTGCTTGGTAATTACAATGGCTCAGTCCCATTGGCAACATGCCTCTGACACCTGTGGTCTTTGGAGTCCTCATGCTAACTGTAACTCTGGTCAATTTTGCTGTTGGGTAAATGGCTCATGTTGGGGTCCCATCATGCCTCTACTTTGGGAGTCATGTTTGGCAACATGGCTCTGGAGTAGTTTGGCAACAGCTGGAGGGCCGCCAGCTTGACACCTGTGGTCTATGGAGTCCTCCTAATCAGGTGGTGGGTAACTGTGGCCCTCTGGCTGTTGGGTAACTGTGGCCTTCTGGCTGTTGGGTAACTGTGGCCTTCTGGCTGTTGGGTAACTACAAGTCCCATCATGCCTCTACCTTTGGGAGTCATGCTTGTAACTGTCAATTTTGCAATGGCTCATGGAACTTGTAGTTTGGCGACAGCTGGAGGGCCACCAGCTTGACACCTGTGGTCTATGGAGTCGTCCTAATCCAGTGGTGGGTAACTGTGGACCTCTGGCTGTTGGGTAACTACAAGTCCCATCATGCTTCTGGGAGTCACGCTTGTAATGGTCAGTCTTACAGTGCCTCACAGGACACCACAACAGCTGAAGGGCCGCAGCAGCCCGCCCCTAGCCATATCTGAAGGAATGGAAAGGCACAACAAAAGACTCCAGTTGGTGCCCCAGTGTGCCTATTAATCTGCCCTCATACTCACCTCCTGCTTGCGCATAAGTTTCTGCATGACCATGTGCCGTGCACTGCTCCCAGAGATACTCATGTGCTCCTGCTCGCTGAGCATCTCCGGCCTTTCCGACTCCAGAGCCGGTTCCTCGTCCTCCTTCTCCTTCTTCACCTCCAACTGGGCTAATGCTGGGGGGCTGGACAGAATGGGGTTCACTAGTCCCACCTGAGGAATAGTAACTGGTAAAGATGGCCGCACTGGTGTCACTCCTGTGAAGGAAACACAACCATATCAGTTAATAATGAATGAATATTGAGGGATTTTTTTTTCCCCATGCAAATGCACACAAGAACAAGTCATGGGCAGCACAGCGGCTAAACGGTTAGCACTTCCGCCAGGCAGTACTCGGGTCACCAGTTCGAATACCAACCACGGCACCACCTGCCTGAAGTGTGCATGTTTTCCCTGTGCCTGCGTGGGTTTCTTTTGGGTACTCCGGTTTCCTCCCACACTCCAAAGACTTGCTGGTAGGCTAATTGGCTCCTGTCTAAATTGTCCCTAGTATGTGTATGTATGAATGTGAGTTAGGGACCTTAGATTGGACGCCCCTTGAGGGTTAGGGACCTTAGATTGGACGCCCCTTGAGGGTTAGGGACCTTAGATTGGACGCCCCTTGAGGGTTAGGGACCTTAGATTGGACGCCCCTTGAGGGTTAGGGACCTTAGATTGGACGCCCCTTGAGGGTTAGGGACCTTAGATTGGACGCCCTTGAGGGTCAGGGGACCTTAGATTGGACGCTCCTTGAGGGTTAGGGACCTTAGATTGACGCCCCTTGAGGGTTGGGGACCTTAGATTGGACGCCCCTTGAGGGTTGGGGACCTTAGATTGGACGCTCCTTGAGGGTCAGGGACCTTAGATTGGACGCTCCTTGAGGGTTAGGGACCTTAGATTGTACACCCTTGAGGTTTAGGGACCTTAGATTGTACATCCCTTGAGTACCTTAGGGACCTTAGATTCATTTATGATTGTACGCTGTTCTATTTGAGGGTCAGGGACTGATGTGACAGGAATGTACAAATATATATGTAAAGCGCTGTGGGGGGGTAAATTGACGGCGATATACAAGTACCTGAAATAAATAAATAAATAAAACAGTTCTCCTCACAAGGGGGTCAGCTCAGGCACATTACAATTTGGGATAGCCTGTGCACAGCACAGCCTCAAGGGGTTGCAATCTAAGGTCCTAAGCAGTGTGATTACAGTGAAGGGGCTCCTCTAAGGGTAACCCTCATGTACACATTAACCCTCAAGGGGGCGTGATCTAAGGGCCCCCTCATGTTAACCCCTTCCTGCCCACCCCTGCCATATTAGTACAGTCCAGGCAGGTGGTGCCGTGGTTGGGTCAGTGCTTTTTTATTAGCACTGATAGGAGAGTTCCACTGTACTGGTGTCACTAAGTGTACAATCCGACGTGTTGGTGTGGAGGACTGTTTGTGTTTTAACATACTGAGGATAGCTGTGCACAGCACAATCCAGGAAGTCGCAACAGCACCCTAGTTTCCCCACATATTCACTACCCCCCCCCCACGTGTCCTTCCAGATTGTCCACCACAGGTCCTGCTATAAGTCGCTGATCGCCGCCATTACTAGTAAAAATGAAAAAAAAAAAAAAAAATTCCAGTATATATACCGCCATTTGTAGACGCTGTAACTTTCACATAAACCAATTAATTTACACGTATTGGGATTTTTTTCTTTTTAGCAAAGACATGGAGCGGACTACATTTTGGCGTAAATATACCTAACTGACCTGATACCCAAATACCACCCTACCCGTAATCTGCGCTCCTCACAGGACCTCGTACTCTCCAGCTCCCTGGTCTCCCACGCCCGACTTCTCCAAGACTTCCCCCATCCTCTGGAACTCCCTACCCCAATCCATCAGACTGTCACCTACCCTCCTCACCTTTAGGCGAACCCTGAAAACCCATCTCTTCAGGGAAGCCTACCCCGCCCTCACCTAACTGCCGATCTCCTCCACTCCTCCTACCACTCCATCCCCCACAGCCACTCCTCCTCCTGTACCACTATCCCCTCCAAGGAGCAGGGCCCTCAAACCCCTCGTGTATTGTTTTGTTACTGTCTTGTCTCAATGTTTTGTCCCCCTCGCTAATGTACAGCGCTGAGCACACCCTTCAGCGCTATATAAATACTGTATAATAATAATAATAATAATAATACAATTTGATTTTTTTTATTTTTTTTTTTACTGGACATGTTTATTTTTCAAAATTGTCTGGTTTTTTTTTGTTTGTTTTTTTTATAGCACAAAAAAAGTGTCCATTTAGTATCACTGTGATCAGTTACAAAAAGAATTTCTAAGACAGTTTGTGAAGTACCAACCTGTAATAACCCCAGGGGCTTGTGCTGCCATGACTGCTTGAGGTAGTGCCCCCAAAGGCTGTGCCAGTGTTAGCGCTGGGGTCACAAGGCCAGGATTTGCCAGTGTGCCAAGAACAGCAGCGCCAGCCACGGCTTCCTGCGAGAAAGAGAGGGATGTATTATACCACAAACCATTTACACGTGGACATGTCTGGTGATCAGATGAAGAATTAAATGTTACAAAACACAAAAATGTCACCGGATCAGGGGCGGACTGACAACTCATGGGGCCCCCCGGGCAAAAGGGGACCATGGGGTCCCTGTGTCTTTGCCCAAACTCAAAAAAGCCTATGAAAAAAAGGTGCCAGGGGCATCTCATGGGGCCCCCTACTGACCCCGGGCCCTCGGGCAGTGCCCGAGTTTCCAAATGGTCAGTCCACCACTGCACCGGATTCTCAGGTAATGCAAGCTATGTGGACTGATCTCTATCCTTCCCTTCAGTCTTGTACAGTGATAGCGGCTCCTCTCCTGGACTGAAACGGCTTCCTCTGATTTCACTGCACACTGCGAGCTTCTCACAATGTGCATTAGAAGCTGCAGCCAGTCGTGTAGAACACATTTCCAGACTGCAGGACATCCACAATCATCTAGTGCAGTGGTTCTCAACCTGTGGGTCATGACCCCTTTGGGGGTCAAACAACCCTTTCACAGGGGTCACCTAAGACCATCGGGAAAACACATATTTCCGATGTGTAAAGAGCAGCTGCTGTGTTGAAAGCAGCTACTGTGTTGAAAGCAGCTACTGTGTTGAAAGCAGCTACTGTGTTGAAAGCAGCTACTGTGTTGAAAGCAGCAGTATTGGAGGGTTAAAACGACACTCATGAATTATAATTACTGGGTAAATAATTTTATGGTTGGGGGTCACCACAACAGGAGGAACTGTATTAAAGGGTCGCAGCATTAGGAAGGTTGAGAACCACTGATCTAGTGCTTTCTTCCCCAGCTTGACTGTCCCAAGCTCACCAGTTTCATTCATTGGACGGGTTTTTTTCCATCATGGAGGCTCAACATCACATGTGGGTGTTGCTTAGGGGCAGCCTTCATGCAAATACAATGTGCCTAGGAACGCCCAAAATACCCCAGACTGACAATTTTTTTTTTTTTATCAGGGCATTTTAAAGCGGAGCTCCACCCAAAAAGGGAAAGTTCTGCTTTAAGCCTTTGTCCCCCACTCCCCATTAACTGGAGGAGTTAAAAAAAAAAAATGTTCAAACTCGGAACGCTTATAAACGTGATTTGCCGCGTTTACAAGCGTTTTGCGTTTGAAACGCTGATAAAATCGACTGCTAAATGCAAGTTTTCTGCGTAAAAAAAAAAAAAAAACGACTAAAAACTCAACTGCCTGTAAACGGCGATGTGTACACGGACACATAGGAAAACATTAGGGAGAGTTCAGGGGCTGCTGAAAAAACACTAAACAGCACTAAACATGAGTTTATCAGTGTACATGAGCCCTTAGGAAAACCGGCTAAACGGACAGCTGGAAAACGTAGGTTAAAAAACGCCTGTTTAGCCGCATTTCCCTAAGGGCTCATGTACACGGGACACTTCTGAACGATGGAAGCGGACAGCTGGAAAAACGTAGGTTAAAAACGTTTGTTTCCATCGTTCAGAAGTGTCCCGTGTACATGAGCCCTTAGGGCAGTGGTTCTCAACCTGTGGGTCGCGACCCCTTTTGGGGTCGAACGACCCTTTCACAGGGGTCCCCTAAGACCATCAGAAAACACATATTTCCGATGTGTAAAGAGCAGCTGCCGTGTTGAAAGCAGCTGCCGTGTTGAAAGCAGCTGCCGTGTTGAAAGCAGCTGCCGTGTTGAAAGCAGCTGCCATGTTGAAAGCAGCTGCCGTGTTGAAAGCAGCTGCCCTGCTGAAAGCAGCTACCGTGTTGAAAGCAGCAGTTTGAGGTTGAAAGCAGCAGTATTGGAGGTAAAACGACACTCATGAATTATAATTACTGGGTAAATAATTTTATGGTTGGGGGTCACCACAACAGGAGGAACTGTATTAAAGGGTCGCGGCATTAGGAAGGTTGAGAACCACTGATCTAGTGCTTTCTTCCCCAGCTTGACTGTCCCAAGCTCACCAGTTTCATTCATTGGACGGGTTTTTTGCCATCATGGAGGCTCAACATCACATGTGGGTGTTGCTTAGGGGCAGCCTTCATGCAAATACAATGTGCCTAGGAACGCCCAATACCCCAGACTGACAATTTTTTTTTTTTTTATCAGGGCATTTTAAAGCGGAGCTCCACCCAAAAAGGGAAAGTTCTGCTTTAAGCCTTTGTCCCCCACTCCCCATTAACTGGAAGAGTTAAAAAAAAAAATGTTCAAACGTTTATAAACGTGATTTACCTCGTTTACAAGCGTTTTGGGTTTGAAACGCTGATAAAATCGACTGCTGAACGCAAGTTTTCTGCGTTTAATTAAAAAAAAAAAAAAACGACTGAACTCAACTGCCTGTAAACGGCGATGTGTACACGGACACATAGGAAAACATTAGGGAGAGTTCAGGGGCTGCTGAAAAAACACTGAACAGCACTAAACATGAGTTTATCAGTGTACATGAGCCCTTAGGAAAACACGGCTAAACGGACAGCTGGAAAACGTAGGTTAAAAAACGCCTGTTTAGCCGCATTTCCCTAAGGGCTCATGTACACGGGACACTTCTGAACGATGGAAGCGGACAGCTGGAAAACGTAGGTTAAAAACGTTTGTTTCCATCGTTCAGAAGTGTCCCGTGTACATGAGCCCTTAGGGCAGTGGTTCTCAACCTGTGGGTCGCGACCCCTTTGGGGGTCGAACGACCCTTTCACAGGGGTCCCCTAAGACCATCAGAAAACACATATTTCCGATGTGTAAAGAGCAGCTGCTGTGTTGAAAGTAGCTGCCGTGTTGAAAGTAGCTGCCGTGTTGAAAGTAGCTGCCGTGTTGAAAGCAGCTGCCGTGTTGAAAGCAGCTGCCGTGTTGAAAGCAGCTGCCGTGTTGAAAGCAGCTGCCCTGCTGAAAGCAGCTGCCCTGCTGAAAGCAGCTGCCCTGCTGAAAGCAGCTGCCCTGCTGAAAGCAGCTGCCCTGCTGAAAGCAGCTGCCCTGCTGAAAGCAGCTACCGCGTTGAAAGCAGCTACCGCGTTGAAAGCAGCTACCGCGTTGAAAGCAGCTACCGCGTTGAAAGCAGCTACCGCGTTGAAAGCAGCTACCGCGTTGAAAGCAGCTACCGCGTTGAAAGCAGCTACCGCGTTGAAAGCAGCTACCGCGTTGAAAGCAGCTACCGCGTTGAAAGCAGCTACCGCGTTGAAAGCAGCTACCGTGTTGAAAGCAGCTACCGTGTTGAAAGCAGCTACCGTGTTGAAAGCAGCAGTATTGGAGGTAAAACGACACTTCATAAATTATAATTACTGGGTAAATAATTTTATGGTTGGGGGTCACCACAACATGAGGAACTGTATTAAAGGGTCACAGCACTAGGAAGGTTGAGAACCACTGCCTTAGGGTCACGAGCCATTCTGAAACTGGTGAGAACTCCTGAGTGACAGAATTCCCAGGCCTTTGCTCTGCTCCTCCTTTAGCTTTGCTACCCAAATCAGCAAATTCCAGCGACACCCATTAAGGTCAGTGGCAGTTGCATCACTATTCCACATAACCTCCCTTGTCAACAACTGCTGCTCCGAAGCTTCTAGAAACACTTGCCTGCAGGGCATTGAACAGATGTCAACACATCTGCAAGGCTCTTCTCTAGTCATCTAACTATACAGCCCCTACCCTTCCGTGTTTACACAATTGTCCATTGATATACCTGAGCTGTGATCTTGGCAGTTGCAGCAGCAGCAGCGACAGCGGCAGCGGGAGGGAGACCACCAGGGGTGGCCGGTGTAAGAAGAGGCATCGGTGGAGTAACAGCTTTCCCGACTCGAAGGTACTGACCACCCAGATCAAACAAGTTCATGGAGGAGACGGCATCCTGCGAAGACTGGGCTTTCTCATACTCTGTAGATACAAACACAGCAGGAATGAAGGGGACAGCAGGGAGTTCAACACATCACAACCTGCGGCTCTTCGAGTACAACAACCTGCCTGGAAGGAAGTATAGGAGCGGGCTTGTATGAATGCGAATGCAGTACCGTCATTCTGATCCATTCTCCTATTGGGTCACTGAGCTGAACCAGGCATCTACATAGATCAGTTCAATGGATAAGAAGTGAAGGACAAGGATAGACGCCTACGGTGCGTATTTCAAAGCAGGTTATCAAGGACCGCCCTCATATTTCAATGCAGAAAGGTTTGTGTACTCCCATTACATATACTTGTTCCAGGTCAGTATCTCAAGGGTTTGAAATCTACCGGATCTGTATTGACGGCCAAGCAACAAGCTTTCCTACCTTTCCGGATCTGCAAACCTACCGAGGACATTTAACCACTCGCCTACCGGGCACTTATATCTCCTTCGTGCCCAGGCCAAGTTTCAGCTTTCAGCGCTGTCGAACTTTGAAGGACAATTGCGCAGTCATGCAACACTGCACCCATATGAAATTTTTTGAATTTTTTTCACACAAATAGAGCTTTCTTTTGGTGGTATGTACTCGCCGTTGGGTGTCTTAGTTTTTGCTCTATAAACAAAAAAAAAGCAAAAAATTTTGAAGAAAAAAAAAGTGTGTTTCTATAATAAAATGCAATATTTTATTATAGAAACAGGTCATTTTTCTCCTTCACTGATGTGCGTTGATGAGGCTGCACTGATGGGCACTGAGGAGCTAACACTGATGAGGCGGCACTGATATGCAACAATGATGGGCACAGGTGGGTGGCACTGCTAGGCACAGGTGGGTGGCACTGCTAGGCACAGGTGGGGTGGCACTGCTAGGCACGGATCATCAGGGCACTGGTCATCAGTGCCCTGATGATCAGTGCTGATCAATCCTCTAACAAATGCCGGTTATCGGCAGTACTTTCCTCACACTGTGAGAGCGTGAGGCAAGTGCAGCCAATAACCGGCAACTGCATTTACTGGTGATCAGCTGTGTCATTTGGACAAAATCTGAGGGGGGGTTATATGCTTGCGTGTAACTTCCATTTAAATCTTTTTTTTTTTTTTTTACTTAACTTTTTTAATCACATAGGGTGAAAGGTTCTCTTTTTGAGACATCTCCCCTGTGCTCCACTGAATGTAATGCAGTGCACATCGCACCGCATTACATTCTTTCCCGGCCTCAATGACCAGGAATCTATCAAACGGGGACCCAGAAGTGACATGAAATCACTTCCGGGTCAGGACAAGAAGGGAAGGGGAGCAGATCTGTCCGCTTTCCTACCTCCTCTATACCACATCCCACGGCACCCACTGAGCCAGTCCAGGGCCTGCAGATGGGCAAGCGGAACCTGGGAATTAGAGCGTGCAGGGATGGGGGCGGCACTGTGTGGAAGCAATTGGGGGGCAGCACTGCCAACTGAATGCTTCCACCTGACAGGTGAGCATTGCTTTTCCACACAGGAGGGCTAAAGACCAAAAAAAAAAAAAAAAAACTACCTGCCTTGCACCCGAAACATGTCCTGGGCATCGAGCGATATGAATTGCACATCCCTGCATACCGCTGGTAAAGGATGAAAAAAGGACCCGGCAGCCTGCTCTAGGACCCTACCAGCTGAAGTAAAAGCCACCAGAAAGTCAACTATGCATGTGAGAAACAACAAAATGGAGATTCCAAAAGGGTTCAAATGGGGCATACTGTAAAACAGACAATACAAAATTATAGTCACACAGAGACAACAGGAACCTGACAGCCAGAACAATAGGCTTCTGGAACAGAAGGGTCAAGGCCAAAATCTAACCTATGATTATACAGTGCCTTGAAAATGTCTTCCTACCCCTTGAAATTTTCCACATTTTGTCATGCTACAACCAAGAATGTAAATGTATTTTATTGGGATTGGATGTGATAGACCGACACAAAGTGGCACATAATTGTGAAGTGGAAGGAAAATGATAATTGGTTTTCAAAAATTGTTTTACACATAAATATGTGTTTACTCTGATACTGCTAACTAAAACTAGTGAAACCAACTGGTATGAATAATCTTTCAAGGAACTGTACGTAAGGCCAAGATGCACCCCATAATGTACGGTGGAGACTTAAAGTGGAGCTCCACTCAAAAGGGGAGTTCTGCTTTAATGCTTTGTCCCCCGAAGTTCTGCTTTAATGCTTTGTCCCCCGCTCCCCATTAAGGATTGGCATCTTTAGGGAGCAGGTACCCGAATTTAGCAGGTACCCGCTCCCACTTCCGCTGTGATCGCCTAGGCCAGGGGTAGGCAACCTGCGGCTCTCCAGCTGTTGCAGGACTACAAGTTCCATCATGCCTCTGCAAGTCATAGCTGTAACTGTCAGTTTTGTAATGTTGCAATGCCTCATGGGAAATGTAGTTCCACAACAGCTGGAGAGCCGCAGGTTGCCTACCCCTGGCCTAGGCGATTGTAAGTGGATGTTGTCCTCCCTTCTCTCCCCGTAGTCTTCTGGGACAAGTGACAGGTTACTAAAGACTACGGGGCCATTCACAAAGTGCAGCTCTTCTCACGCATGCGCAGTGGGCACCCGGCTGTGAAGCCACAAGCTGTCACAACCGGGTGCCCACACTAAAGATGCCAGCACCACGGAGAGAAGAGGGCCGGTGAAACCAGCAGTGGGGAGCAGTGGGGAAGGACACCACCGCTGGACCGAGGGACAGGTAAGTGGCTGTATTTTAAAAGTTAGCAGCTAGTTTTTTCAGGTGGAACTCTGCTTTAAGAGCCTCACACCAAGGCAAAGAAGCCTGATGGTACCCCTTCTTGGAGGTCCACAATCTTGCCCTGAGCAGGATAGGAATGACTGAGAAAAAAAAAACGCCTGTCCTTCCAGACTTGGATTTCAACAGCCATGCTTCAAAACCAGATCTGGAAGAACCTACAGCTTGTCCACCAACAGGTTGCTGAGGTCCGTGTACTATGCTCCTTGAGACAAAGCTAGAGCGATAAAAACCAGCTCATCTTCTGTCATTATCCAGAGTAGTAGGTGAGGCAGGAGGTGAAGCAGAGGAAAACTGATGCCAAGGACTCACGAGGGCATCCACTTCAAATGCCTGAGAATCCCTGACAAGCCTGTCCAGCATAGTGTGGAACCTGGATACTAGAAGATCCACAACCAGGGACCCCCACCTCTGACACAGATTTGTACACCCCTTGGGAAAGGGCTCCTCACTTGCGTGAATTCAGTTGTTGATGACTGTAGGACTCCGCAGTTCTGCCCAAGACAAGGTCATGTTTGCCTATGCCTTAGTGGAACAGCTGTAGCAATTTCCCACTGCACTCGCACTGCTTGACCCCAAAAACAGGACGACAAATGTTGGAGAGGAAAATGCACTTTTCCTGTGGCAGGAACACCTTGGACCAAGTCAAGTCCAGGACTAAGTCCAAGTATTATAGATGATTCATTGAGACCAAGGATGATATTTGAAGATTCACTACACTGAACCCTTTCATAACCCGCACCATCTGATAGCTGTTTGAGAGCAATCGGCTCAGACCCCGATGTCAAAGAAGCTGCTTGTCCAAGTACCCCAACAAGGAGTCTTCATCAACCCCAGAAAAGGAGCCAACATGTTGGTAAACACTCTGGAAGCAAAATGGCAAAACCACAAATTCGTGATGCCAATCCTCCACAGCTAACGTCAGAAACCTTTGGTGAGGTTGAAGATAGATATATGCAGGTAGGTATCTTTGATATCTACCATTGCCAGAACATCTGCTTGCTAAAGTGACAAAATCCAGATGGACTGCATCCTGAAATTTTGCAACTGCAAGAATCTGTTGATACCTTTGAGATCCAGTATAGGCCAGACATCTCCATTTGCTTTTGGAACTGTAAAGAGATTTGAGTAGAAGCCGTGACCCAGAGTCTCTTCCTGAGCTGCGTTCCTTATCCTCCACTTGTGTCCAAAAGGATGGTCTTCCAAAACCTCATCCCCCGAAGCCATTGTGGTGAAGACCAAGCCAGAAAAATGGTTAAGTAACATCTCCAAACACAGGCAGCTCACGCCGTTTGCCCCTGCTCAGCGCACATAGGTTCTTGCAGTAAGGGGACATTTATAAGAGGAACAGCCACACGAGGAACTTCCCACAATGGGCACCCACTAGTGCAGGCTCTGGGCTAGCAGAAAGCCCAATCTTCATCCATCACGACAGCTACACTCCAAAGGGGGCCTTCAGAGACATGACTCTGCATCAGGTGATCATCACCCTGGACCTGTAAAGCACCCAGCAAGTGTCATTAGGTACCCCGATTAGGAATGCCGACAGGATCCAATGCCGACGGCTAACCGTACAAGACCAGGGTCATAAACTACTTCCTTTTCAAAACACTCAGAACAAAATCACACGCACACCCATCACCTCAGCGTAGAACAAGAGGCTGTTCTGTGCTCAGATGGGTCATGCCTGGGTGGGGATGCTTGCTTTTTTTGGCCAGTGTACATAACCCAGTCATTATGGATATGATGAAAACCGGTGTCCTGTGATGTATGCTTAAAGGATAAGTTCACCTTTTGTAACATGTTAGATCCATATTCACGGGGGGTAACATGTTACGATCAGACTGGCCCCTGCTGCCAGCTTTCACAACTAGTTGGGGATCCCCCCCGTCGCTAGTTGTCGAATTTGAAAAAACAGTGGCCGTGTAGGGCTCCACACACATAGCTGCATTCACTCAGTCACAGTCATTTGTGAATGAGAGACTACAAGTTCCGACAGCCTTAGCGGCTGTCAGCTTGTAGTCATCGAACTACCACTGCGCTGTGAAGAGCCGTGGTAGCCCTCGAACTACCACGGCGCTGTGAAGAGCCGTGGTAGCCCTCGAACTACCACGGCGCTGTGAAGGGCCGTGGTAGTCCTCGAACTACCACTGCGCTGTGAAGAGCCGTGGTAGTCCTCGAACTACCACTGCGCTGTGAAGAGCCGTGGTAGTCCTCGATGAACTACCACTGCGCTGTGAAGAGCCGTGGTAGTCCTCGATGAACTACCACTGCGCTGTGAAGAGCCGTGGTAGTCCTCGATGAACTACCACTGCGCTGTGAAGAGCCGTGGTAGTCCTCGATGAACTACCACTGAGCTGTGAAGAGCCGTGGTAGTCCTCGATGAACTACCACTGCACTGTGAAGAGCCGTGGTAGTCCTCGAACTACCACGGCGCTGTGAAGAGCTGTGGCAGCTTATTCATTCTTTCCATCTGTAGATCAGCTTGCTCGTACATCCCGTACTGGCAAACAGATATACGGACAGGTCTGCAGGAGACCTGCATAGCACCAGCGATCTACAGATCGCTGGTGCAATGCTTTACAGGCTCCTACAGACAAAAATAATAAATGCACTTTTTTTAAACTGCAAAAAAAAAGTGCATCTATTATTTTTTTCTAAAAGGTAAATTTATCCTTTAAGAAAAAAAATGTATCAGGGGGTCAGTGGGAAAAGTGCACTTTACATTGGTAATCCGAGGGAAGAATGCCACTTTTACAGACATCTAAAAAGAACATTAGTGTCAGGCTACTGGCTCTTTCAAGGGAAGCTGGCCCTGGAACTATGAAGGCACCTCAAATGGGAGGTCAACCGGACACAGCTCAAGTAACACCAAGAAACCTCTGGAGGAAACCCTAGTTGAAAATAACAGAACCAAAACTATGATTGAGAGACTCTATATGAGATACAAGCTCAGAGGAGAGAGCCCAGCAGATAGTGTGAACACTGGATTACAAGTCGGTGTCTTGAATATGGCCTCCAATTCTTTGCATGGGACAACAGTAAAGCAGTGATGGACAAGAGTCAGTCTGTGCACAAGATCAGATGAGACACAGAGGGACCCCTGAAGCATAGCAACTGTTTTGGAAACAAGCATATGACCCTAATCACCAGACTCTATGGGGTTGATTTACTAAAGCTGGAGACTGCAAAATCTGGCTCACGCCCGCATAGAAACCAATCAGCTTCTAACCTCAGCTTGTTCTATTAAGCTTTGGCAATAAAACCTGGAAGCGGATTGGTTTCTACGAAAGAAAAGAAAATTCTTGGCCATGAAAATTCTTTGTAGAGACATGAGGTGAAATTGAAGGCTTGGTTGGTTGAATTTCGAAATCAATGGTGGCGCCATCGGAATAGAAAACACACAAAAATTCCGATTTCCTAAAGAAAATTTGTTCCGTGTATGGCCTGCATAGTTCTGCATAGAAACCAATCAGCTTCTAACCTCAGCATGTTCAATTAAGTTTTGGCAATAAAACCTGGAAGCGGATTGGTTTCTATGCAGAAGTGAACCTAAAGCCGGCCATACGCGGATTGAATTCCGAAATAATTTTCTTTTGAAAATCTTTTCTAAGAATTTTCGCTTGAATTTCGCCACAGAAACGGATGATTTTGGTGTAACCATCGAATTTGAGTGATTGAGCATGTTGGAAATTTTTTTTTAAAAAACGAACAAATTTCGAATCATTGATGGGAGAATCGGGTGAGAAATATAAATGAAAAAGAAATAAGCCTGAGCTGTGACCTGGAAAGGAAAGAAAATTCTTGGCTACGAAAATTCTTTTCTGTAGCGACATGAGGTGAAATTGAAGGCTTGGTTGATTGAATTTTGAAATCAATGGTGGCGCCATTGGAATACAAAACACGAAAATTCCGATTTCCTAAAGAAAATTTGTTCAAAATTCGACCCGTGTATGGCCTGCATAATTCTGCATAGAAACCAATCAGCTTCTAACCTCAGCTTGTTCAATTAAGTTTTGGCAATAAAACCTGGAAGCTGATTGGTTTCTATGCAGAAGTGAACCTAAAGCCGGCCACACGCGGATTGAATTCCAAAATAATTTTTTTTTCGAAAATCTTTTCTAAGAATTTTCGTTTGAATTTTGCACCATTAGTGGAGCCACAGAAACGTATGATTTTCGTGTAACCATCGAATTTAAGTGATTGGGCTTGTTGGAAATTTTTTGTAAAAACGAACAAATTTCGAATCATTGATGGGAGAATCGGGTGAGAAACATAAATGAAAAAGAAATAAGCCTGAGCTGTGACCTGGAAAGGAAAGAAAATTCTTGGCTACGAAAATTCTATTCTGTAGCGACATGAGGTGAAATTGAAGGCTTGGTTGATTGAATTTTGAAATCAATGGTGGCGTCGTCGGAATACAAAATGCACGAAAACTCAGTTTTTTCTAAAGAAAATTTGTTTGGAAGTTGACCAAAATGTAACTGAACAAGCTGAGGTTAGAAGCGGATTTGTTTCTATGGGCTGCATAATTCTGCAAAGAAACCAATCAGCTTCTAACCTCAGCTTGTACAATTAAGTTTTGGCAATAAAACCTGGAAGCTGATTGGTTTTCTACGAAAGAAAAGAAAATTCTTGGCCACGAACATTCTTTTCTGTAGAGACATGAGGTGAAATTGAAGGCTCGGTCGGTTGAATTTCGAAATCAATGGTGGCGTCGTCGGAATACAAAATGCACGAAAATTCAGTTTTTTCTAAAGAAAATTTGTTCGAAATTCGAGCCGTGTATGGCCTGCATATTTCTGCATAGAAACCAATCAGCTTCTAACCTCAGCTTGTACAATTAAGTTTTGGCAATAAAAACAGGAAGCCAATTGGTTTCTATGCAGAAGTGAACCTAAAGCCGGCCATACACGGATAATTCCGAAATAATTTGCTTTCGAAAATCTTTTCTAAGAATTTTCGCTTGAATTTCGCCACAGAAACGGATGATTTTCGTCACAGAAACGGATGATTTTCATGTAACCATCGAATCTGAGTGATTGGGCTTGTTGGAAATTATTTGTAAAAACAAACAAATTTCGAATCATTGGTGGGAGAATCAGTGAGAAATATAAATGAAAAAGAAATAAGCCTGAGCTGTGACCTGGAAAGGAAAGAAAATTCTTGGCTACGAAAATTCTATTCTGTAGCGACATGAGGTGAAATTGAAGGCTTGGTTGATTGAATTTTGAAATCAATGGTGGCGTCGTCGGAATACAAAATGCACGAAAATTCAGTTTTTTTCTAAAGAAAATTTGTTTGGAAGTCGACCAAAATGTAACTGAACAAGCTGAGGTTAGAAGCGGATTTGTTTCTATGGGCTGCATAGAAAACAATCAGCTTCTAACCTCAGCTTGTTCAATTAAGTTTTGGCAATAAAACCTGGAAGCTGATTGGTTTTTACGAAAGAAAAGAAAATTCTTAGCCACGAAAATTCTTTTCTGTAGAGACATGAGATGAAATTGAAGGCTTGGTCGGTTGAATTTCGAAATCAATGGTGGCGCCATCGGAATACAAAACACACGAAAATTCTGATTTTCTAAGGAAAATTTGTTTGAAATTCGAGCCGTGTATGGGCTGCATAATTCTGCATAGAAACCAATCAGCTTCTAACCTCAGCTTGTTCAATTAAGTTTTGGCAATAAAACCTGGAAGCTGATTGGTTTCTATGCAGAAGTGAACCTAAAGCCGGCCACACGCGGATTGAATTCCAAAATAATTTTTTTTTTCGAAAATCTTTTCTAAGAATTTTCGTTTGAATTTTGCACCATTAGTGGGGCCACAGAAACGTATGATTTTCGTGTAACCATCGAATTTAAGTGATTGGGCTTGTTGGAAATTTTTTGTAAAAACGAACAAATTTCGAATCATTGATGGGAGAATCGGGTGAGAAACATAAATGAAAAAGAAATAAGCCTGAGCTGTGACCTGGAAAGGAAAGAAAATTCTTGGCTACGAAAATTCTTTTCTGTAGAGACATGAGGTGAAATTGAAGGCTCGGTTGGTTGAATTTCGAAATCAATGGTGGCGTCGTCGGAATACAAAATGCACGAAAATTCAGTTTTTTCTAAAGAAAATTTGTTTTGGAATAGTCGACCAAAATGTAACTGAACAAGCTGAGGTTAGAAGCGGATTTGTTTCTATGGGCTGCATAGAAAACAATCAGCTTCTAACCTCAGCTTGTTCAGTTAAGTTTTGGCAATAAAACCTGGAAGCTGATTGTTTTTTACGAAAGAAAAGAAAATTCTTAGCCACGAAAATTCTTTTCTGTAGAGACATGAGATGAAATTGAAGGCTCGGTCGGTTGAATTTCGAAATCAATGGTGGTGGCGCCATCGGAATACAAAACACACGAAAATTCTGATTTTCTAAGGAAAATTTTTTGAAATTCGAGCCGTGTATGGGCTGCATAATTCTGCATAGAAACCAATCAGCTTCTAACCTCAGCTTGTACAATTAAGTTTTGGCAATAAAACCTGGAAGCCGATTGGTTTCTATGCAGAAGTGAGCCTGATTTTGCACTCTTCAGCTTCAAATCACTTCTGGCTGGGGCATTCCTTTAAAAAGATGTACTGTAGGTGGTGTAACCCCTGAAATTCAGGTGGCAGTGGGGCGCATGAACTACATAAAAGCGGCAGCGCGCGTTTTATTCTCACCTATAAAACCGTAACCTTTGTGTTTGCCTGTAGTGGGGTCTCGTGCCAACATACAAGACTTGATCTTCCCAAAGGCCTCAAACACGCTCTTTATATCGTCGTCGGAGAGATCCTGGTGCACGGAGGCCACGTAGATTCTGTTGAAGGAGCGGGCTTCTTCTGCCAGTTGGTCTATGATGGGCTGTGCCTGGCCGATGTTGCTGGGTCTGCCCACCTGAGAGGAGAGAGACCGAACGTAAATCAAGGGAATCATAAGACACAAGTGAAGAATCCATTTTAAAGAAAAGTATTCATACTGGAGCAATAAAAAGGGCCACAGATTGGATCTTAATTGCGATGGACACAAATGTATGAAAACAGTGCCTGAAGTGTCACTAGAAATCAAAGTGCAGTACTCGTGTGTATGGCAGTGTAAACCATTTTTCACAGATTTCACTAGTAGTAAGCAATGATGTCAGGAAGTGACATCTTGCTTACTACTATTCATGTGATCGCCATTGGCTGATTGGCATTTTGCTCTTTTTTTGTTTATAAAACACCCAGTGGTGATTAAATACCACCAACAGAAAGCTCTATTTGTGTGAAAAAAAAAAAAAGCTAAAAATGTAATATGGGTACAGTGTCATTTGAAATGCGTCAGCACTGAAAGCTGAAAATTGGCCTGGGTAGGAAGGGGGTACAAGTGCCCGGTAGGCAAGTGGATAATAGCAAAAAGTCAAAAATATTGTTTTTTCTTCTGAAAATTTTAAGTCTGTTTTTGTTTATAGTGCAAAAAATAAAAACGCAGAAGCAATCAAATACCACCAAAAGAAATCTCTATTTGTGGGGGAAAAAGGACCTAAATGTCATTTGGGTGCAGTGTTGCATGACCGCGCAATTGTCAGTTAAAGTGATGCAGCGCCGTAATGCAAAAAATGGCTTTGTCAGGAGGGGGGGGGGGGGGGGGGTTAATCCTCTGGAGGGCAAGTGGTTAACAATGAATGGCATTGCATTTCGAGTTTGTGTTGCTCAGATGCAGTGCAGCCTCCACTAAGAAAGCTTCATTGCAAATTTTCTTTCCAGATCAAATGAATAATATTTTGACCCGTTGTCGAATGGCCCTTAACCTCCCTAGCGGTCTGAATTTGTCCATACTTCTGTGCTCAAAGCGGTACATTTTTTTGCATGGAAATATGTTTTTTTATTGTAGGCCTGTAATTTTTTTTAGGAATAACTCACTGAAATCTGTCCGAACAAGAGTCTAGTAAACATCCCGGGGATGATAAAATTTGAAACACGAAATCATAAATTATAATAGAATCATAAAAAATAATAATATAATAAATTTAATTCAATAATATAATCAAACCAAAAACACTGAAATGTGAAATATAGCGCCAAGTTCGCACATCGCTGAGCTCAGTCGCAGAATCGTTTTCAGTGTCTGATGAGGAATTTCCCCACCAATCATTATCACTCAATTCTGCAAGTGGTTCTGATTTACTATCGCTGTTCTCTAGCCGGTCTAAAACCGCGTCTGACCTAAAGGGACGCTTTTTTGGACGCCATGGACGTTTCTCAGTTTCCAGGCAGAAAACAGTAAAATTGCAGGCAGGGCGCCGGACAAAGCACTCGGGACAAAATGTATGTGAAATGGTTTGATACAGGAATGGAATACTATGTGATTTTTAGTGATTTAGTGAATGTCACTTGTAAAATTTTCAAATTTCCCGCCAGTTCCGTCCCCCGACGATTGCAGGGACCGGATCCCGGAAGACGGATGCCAGCATCGGCCGGAGGCGATGGCTGGGGACACTGCAGGGGGGACATCGCGGGAGCGCAGGACAAGGTAAGTGAAGAGATCCCAGAGCAACGCTGCAGTGAATTCCCGAGTGTAGCTCAGGGGGGGTTACCGCTTCTGGTAGTGAAACTTTACCCCGAGCTACACTCGGGAAGACCGCCAGTGAGGTTAAACTTCATGGGCCCAAAGGCCGGTGCCTATTTGGTAATCTGACACTGACCCCTCACAGGAACCCTGGATAAGAATGGCTGGTTTCAAGCATCAGGAGCCACACTGGAAAACTGCATATTTCACAGTTTTATGAGCGGCCCCCACATTCACTGCCTGTGACAGCTCCCAATTGCTGTACGGGACCTCTGTGTAAAGTCCCGATCATGTGATCACTGATTGGCCAATCAGTGATCACATGAATAGTAGTAAGCAAGATTCACTTCCTGACATCATTGCTTACTACATAGTGAAATCTGTGAATGATCTCAGAGATCACTTGGTACAGGGCTATTCACAACAGCCTTGTACCATGTGACAAGCTGTGACCAATCACAGCTCACACAGTATTTCTCAATGGCTGCAGGAATGCAGCCAGAGAGAAGGAGAAATGATTGCTTTTACAGCCTTTATGGGTGTAAAAGCAATTCATGTAGAAAAAAAAAAAAAAGAAAAAAAAAAAAAAACCACAAAAAACTTCATCACCTCCCACAAGTAGTACAGTGTCACTATGGTGACACTGGACTGCTAGGGTGACAGTGTTAAAACAATACAAACACAAAAATAATATAAAAAAATAATAAAAATGTAAAAATAAAAATTAACAAAAATTATAAGTTTTGGTTATAAACAATTTGGGTTATTATTTTTTTTTACTAAAAAGATAGCTAAATACATTTTGGCCTAGATTTATGAAGAAAGATTATTTGCAAAATTTTATTAAAAAAAAAAAACCTTTTTTTTTTTCAAAATGTTTGGACTTTTTCATTTATATAGCAAAAAAAGAAAAATCCCAGCGGTGAATAAATACCACCAAAATAAAGTTTTATCTGTCTCAAAAAAATGCAAAAAAATTCATATGGGTACAGTGTTGCATGACTGCGCAATTGTCAAAGTGTGATCGCACTGAAAGCTAAAAATTGGCCTGGACCTAAGGGAAGGGGTGGGACTGGAAGGGGGGGGGGGGGGGGGGGGGGGGGGGGGGGGGGGGGAAAGTGTCCCGGACAGGAAGTGGTTAACCGCTATGTGAAAGAAGGGGGAAAGCTCCTCTACTTGGTGGGACTTTGGAGGCAAAAATTTGGGAATAACCAATAAGTCAACCATTAAAAGATAACATTCACTTTTATTTATACAATCTTAAAAAAAAAAAAAAAAAAAAAAAAAAAAAAAAAAGACATGACAAATTGAAATACATGAACTATGGCGGTGATTGTCAGAGGATGTATAACTTAACCATTTCAATACCGGGCAATTTTACCCCCTTCCTGCCCAGGCCAGTTTTCAGGTTTCAGCGCTCTCACACTTTGAATGACAATTGTGCGGTCATACAACATTGTACCCAAACTAAAATGTTATTTTCTTCACTCAACTAGAGCTTTCTTTTGGTGGTATTTAATCACCGCTGGGGTTTTTTATTTTATGCTAAATTAACAAAAAAAGACCAAAAAAAAAAAAAAAAGTTTTTCTTGGTTTCTGTTATAAAAGTTTGCAAATAAATAATTGTTCTTTATAAATTTAGGCCGAGATGTATTCTGCTACATGTCTTTGGTGAAAATAACCCAAATTAGGATGTATTTTTTAGTTTGTAGGAAAGTTATAGAGTTCACAAACTATGGTATAGATCTGAATGTTGATCAACCCTGAAGTACTGACAGCCAATCTAATTTCTTGAGGTCCAAGAATGTCAGAACAGTACAGATATCCCCCAAATGTCAGGACAGTACAGATATCCCCCAAATGTCAGGACAGGACAGATATCCCCCAAATGTCAGAACAGGACAGATATCCCCCAAATGTCAGAACGGTACAGATATCCCCCAAATGTCAGGACAGGACAGAAATCCCCCAAATGTCAGGACAGGACAGAAATCCCCCAAATGTCAGGACAGAAATCCCCCAAATGTCAGGACAGAAATCCCCCAAATGTCAGGACAGAAATCCCTCAAATGTCAGGACAGAAATCCCCCAAATGTCAGGACAGAAATCCCCCAAATGTCAGGACAGATATCCCCCAAATGTCAGGACAGTACAGATATCCCCCCCAAATGTCAGAACAGTACAGATATCCCCCCAAATGTCAGAACAGTACAGATATCCCCCCAAATGTCAGAACAGTACAGATATCCCCCCAAATGTCAGAACAGTAACAGATATCCCCCCAAATGTCAGAACAGTACAGATATCCCCCCAAATGTCAGAACAGTACAGATATCCCCCCAAATGTCAGAACGGTACAGATATCCCCCCAAATGTCAGGACAGTACAGATATCCCCCAAATGTCAGGACGGTACAGATATCCCCCAAATGTCAGGACGGTACAGATATCCCTCAAATGTCAGGACGGTACAGATATCCCCCAAATGTCAGGACGGTACAGATATCCCCCAAATGTCAGGACGGTACAGATATCCCCCAAATGTCAGGACGGTACAGATATCCCCCAAATGTCAGGACGGTACAGATATCCCCCAAATGTCAGGACGGTACAGATATCCCCCAAATGTCAGGACGGTACAGATATCCCCCCCAAATGTCAGGACGGTACAGATATCCCCCCAAATGTCAGGACGGTACAGATATCCCCCAAATGTCAGGACGGTACAGATATCCCCCAAATGTCAGCACAGTACAGATATCCCCCAAATGTCAGGACAGTACAGATATCCCCCAAATGTCAGCACAGTACAGATATCCCCCAAATGTCAGGCAGCACCAAATGACCCCTTTTTGCAGAGTAGACAGTCCGACGTACTTCATAAGATGCATGGCGAGTTTTTTGAAGTATTTTTTTTGTCATAATTTTTCGTAAAATTAAAAAAATTAGTTTCACTATTTTTTTTTTTTTTTTTTCATATTGTCACTAGTGCAGTACAGCGTCATCATATAACTGGCATGTTGGTGATCAGGGACACCGACTGGTGACAGTATAAAAAAAAAAAAAATATTTATATTTTATTTTCTTTATTTTTTATTATATATTTTTTCTTTTTTTTTCATATTTCACTATGACCAAAGTAGTATAATGTTACCATAGTAACATTGTACTACTTTGGGGAAGTGATCAGTATTTTTTTTTTTTTTTTTTTTTTTTTTTTTTACACAATTTGCTTATAGCAAAGAATTACTTTGCTATAAGCAAGCATTTACCTGAATGAAATTGATTCATTCAGGGATTTTTTTTCTTTTTGTGCTTAGCTGTGATTTGGCCACAGCTAATCACATGACATGTGCATGTGACCTGCTGTGACCATTCACAGCTAGACACTAGTATACAATGGATGGCATGAATGAAGCCATCCATTGTATACAACTGTCATGTGACCTGCTGTGATTGGTCACATGGTACCGGCAACGGGGGCCGGTACTCAGATCTGTCATCGGCCGTGTCCGAGGTACACGACCGGTGACAGATCGCCCCACTGCGTGCTCTGCAACCGCGCATGAGGACGCCAAATGGCGTGCACCCGGAAAGCTGATGCATTTTTGCGGCCGCCAAACAGCGCGTGCGTGCGTGTGTTCCAGCTAGGGCATTGGACTTTTTTGCCTCCAACTCTTTTGAGGTCCTGAAGATAATAAGCGAAACGCGTCGACCTCTGGAGGACTTGATGTCATTATATATAATGCTGTAAACTACTGGGCTGATTAGCTAAATTACTGTTTTTATGGTAAATTTTTAGAAGATATGTTTCAATAAACATGTTTATACAGTAATAGGAGGTTGTCAGTTTTCTGTACCGGTAAAGTTCCACTTTTTTTTTTTTGTGGTTCTTTATACATCATAACATACTTGATCACTTGCTTTGAATGACCCAATACCAATGCTTCTTGGCTGCACCCTATTCATATCCATATTTACACTTATTAGCGCCTACCTTGATATTCCTTCCACCCAACATGACTGAGTTCATCTGTTCCAGGGCGAGCTGAGCAGCTTCAGGGACTTCATACTCTACAAATGCAAATCCCTGCAGGAAAAAGACAAAATAAAACAACTGATCAATAACTGGACTACAGACTTCCAGATCAAATCTTCCCACACTCAATGGTCACTATTGATTGATTCTCTCTGTAGATGATGTCCATGTATAATACATAAGGGGGATATGATATCCATGTATAATACATAAGGGGGGGGATATGATCTCCATGTATAATACATAAGGGGGGGGATATGATCTCCATGTATAATACATAAGGGGGATATGATCTCCATGTATAATACATAAAGGGGGATATGATCTCCATGTATAATACATAAGGGGGGGGGGGGGATATGATCTCCATGTATAATACATAAGGGGGGGGGGGATATGATCTCCATGTATAATACATAAGGGGGGATATGATCTCCATGTATAATACATAAGGGGGGATATGATCTCCATGTATAATACATAAGGGGGGATATGATCTCCATGTATAATACATAAGGGGGGGATATGATCTCCATGTATAATACATAAGGGGGGGATATGATCTCCATGTATAATACATAAGGGGGGGATATGATCTCCATGTATAATACATAAGGGGGGATATGATCTCCATGTATAATACATAAGGGGGGGATATGATCTCCATGTATAATACATAAGGGGGGGATATGATCTCCATGTATAATACATAAGGGGGGATGTGATCTCCATGTATAATACATAAGGGGGGGATATGATCTCCATGTATAATACATAAGGGAGGGATATGATCTCCATGTATAATACATAAGGGAGGATATGATCTCCATGTATAATACATAAGGGGGGATATGATCTCCATGTATAATACATAAGGGGGGGATATGATCACCATGTATAATACATAAGGGGGGATGTGATCTCCATGTATAATACATAAGGGGGATGTGATCTCCATGTATAATACATAAGGGGGATATGATCTCCATGTATAATACATAAGGGGGGATATGATCTCCATGTATAATACATAAGGGGGGGATATGATCTCCATGTACAATACATAAGGGGGGGATATGATCTCCATGTACAATACATAAGGGGGGGATATGATCTCCATGTACAATACATAAGGGGGATATGATCTCCATGTATAATACATAAGGGGGGGATATGATCTCCATGTATAATACAGGGGGGGGATATGATCTCCATGTACAATACATAAGGGGGATATGATCTCCATGTATAATACATAAGGGGGGATATGATCTCCATGTACAATACATAAGGGGGGGATATGATCTCCATGTACAATACATAAGGGGGGGATATGATCTCCATGTACAATACATAAGGGGGGGGATATGATCTCCATGTACAATACATAAGGGGGGGATATGATCTCCATGTACAATACATAAGGGGGGGATATGATCTCCATGTACAATACATAAGGGGGATATGATCTCCATGTATAATACATAAGGGGGGATATGATCTCCATGTATAATACATAAGGGGGATATGATCTCCATGTATAATACATAAGGGGGATATGATCTCCATGTATAATACATAAGGGGGGGATATGATCTCCATGTATAATACATAAGGGGGATATGATCTCCATGTATAATACATAAGGGGGGATATGATCTCCATGTATAATACATAAGGGGGGGATATGATCTCCATGTATAATACATAAGGGGGGGATATGATCTCCATGTATAATACATAAGGGGGATATGATCTCCATGTATAATACATAAGGGGGGATATGATCTCCATGTATAATACATAAGGGGGGATATGATCTCCATGTATAATACATAAGGGGGGATATGATCACCATGTATAATACATAAGGGGGGATATGATCTCCATGTATAATACATAAGGGGGGGATATGATCTCCATGTATAATACATAATGGGGGATATGATCTCCATGTATAATACATAAGGGGGATATGATCTCCATGTATAATACATAAGGGGGGATATGATCTCCATGTATAATACATAAGGGGGGATATGATCTCCATGTACAATACATAAGGGGGGGATATGATCTCCATGTATAATACATAAGGGGGATATGATCTCCATGTATAATACATAAGGGGGGGATATGATCTCCATGTATAATACATAAGGGGGGGATATGATCTCCATGTATAATACATAAGGGGGGGTATGATCTCCATGTATAATACATAAGGGGGGATATGATCTCCATGTATAATACATAATGGGGGGGATATGATCTCCATGTATAATACATAAGGGGGGGATATGATCTCCATGTATAATACATAAGGGGGGATATGATCTCCATGTATAATACATAAGGGGGGGATATGATCTCCATGTATAATACATAAGGGGGTGTATGATCTCCATGTATAATAAATAAGGGGGGATATGATCTCCATGTATAATACATAAGGGGGGATATGATCTCCATGTATAATACATAAGGGGGATATGATCTCCATGTATAATACATAAGGAGGGATATGATCTCCATGTATAATACATAAGGGGGGATATGATCTCCATGTATAATACATAAGGGGGGGATATGATCTCCATGTATAATACATAAGGGGGGGGATATGATCTCCATGTATAATACATAAGGGGGGATATGATCTCCATTTATAATACATAAGGGGGGGATATGATCTCCATGTATAAATACAGGTGAAACTCGAAAAATTAGAATAGCACCAAAACCTGGTTCAATGACCGTGGGATTACTGTGCTTGATTGGCCAGCAAACTCGCCTGACCTGAACCCCATAGAGAATCTATGGGGCATTGCCAAGAGAAAGATGAGAGACATGAGACCGAACAATGCAGAAGAGCTGAAGGCCAGGAAGGCCGCTATTGAAGCATCCTGGTCTTCCATAACACCTCAGCAGTGCCACAGGCTAATAGCTTCCATGCCACGCCGCATTGAGGCAGTAATTGCTGCAAAAGGGCCCAAACCAAGTACTGAGTACATATGCAGCTTCTACTTTTCAGAGGTCAGATATTGTTCTATGTACAATCCGTGTTTTATTGATTGCATGGAATATTCTCATTTTCTGAGATTGTGGATTTGGGGTTTTCATGAGCTGTAAGCCATAATCACCACAATGATGACAAATCACGGCTGGAACTATCTTGCTTTGCATGTAATGAGTCTCATATATTAGTTTCACCTTTTAAGTTGCTGCACTGAAATAAATCAACTTTTGCACCATATTCTAATTTTTTGACTTTCACCTGTAAATACATCAGTGGTTCCTATAGTGAACTCGGTGTAGAGCTATTCACCGAGGTCATCAGATCAATGCTGCCATCCACCTGGGTTTTTTCCTCTAAATCCTATTCTATTAATGTGTTGCCGGCTCAAACACTTAGGTGAATGTATTAATATATGAAAGATTCTGCTTTTTGGAGGTCCTCTGTGGGAACCGGCCACGATTGGAGCCTAGAAGCCTCCCCTAGCTGGCTTGGCACTATGTCCGTCCTCCACACGTATGCGAACGCTTTTACTTTCTGATCTTTACCTTTGCTTTGTAGTGCTGCATGTCTAAAGAAACTTTAAAAAACGACGTGATTTCCCTTTATTACTATAGAGGAAGATAGTTTCATTCCAGTGAGGGTTGTGGCCACTAGACATTCAATAAAATTTTATATTTTCAGCAAAACAAAGCGAAATCTATTCACAGATTGGCAACTTGAAACGATTAATCTGGAAGCATCGTGTTCAACTTGTCAGTCTAGATGTGACCATTGTTCACAAGCCGCCTTACATACTGTGTGTGAGGTCAGATAGAAGAGGGTGAAGCCTGGAAATGAAGCCGATTACTGTGAAGGATCAACGGAGTTTTACTGACTTGACTCCAGAATGATCTTCATGTCTCCCTGCATTTATTGGGTGACCCATCTGACTATGCACTCCATGCCATACCACCACTTCAGGGAACAAGCAGTTACATTGGACAATATCTGTGCAGCATAGCCACCAAAGTTGACCCCGGTCGCACTGGGTGTGACTTGGCATGTGATTTGCAAGACGCACCCTATTGTCCACAATTGCAGCGGTCATATCGGTGCGGTTCCGACTTGGTCGGAGCCGCACCGATTTCTGAAAGTAGCACATGCGCTACTTTTTGTGCGATTTGAATAGACATCTGTGTCAGATGTCTTGCAAATCGCACCTGAAATCGGGCAACTTCACTGTAAGGGCTCGTTCACACTAGGCTGTTTTGCCAACGCTTGCCAAACGCCCCTATAGCGTTTGGCAAGCTTTGGTCCGGTGTTTGCGGAGCGTTTTTAACGCTCGGCAAACGCCGCATGCGCGGTTTAGCGGCGGTTGCTAGGCGTTTGCCGAGCGTTAATAACGCCCCATAAACGCCTATAATGCATTTGAGTGGTGTTACCGCTCCGCAAACACCCCGCAACCGCACCGCAAACGCCGGCCGGGCGTTTGCGGAGCGGCACCATAGACGAGAATAGGAGGCTTCAAAGCCTCCTGACTCGACCAGAGGCGTCCGTTTTGCCGCGACGCAAACGCTCCTGTTAGAACAGCACCATGTGCTGTAATGTGCAGAATTGGCAGAGGCGTTTGGGAAGCGGTAAAAACGCTTCCCAAACGCCTCTCTGCCGCCTGCACACAAGGCTAGTGTGAACGTAGCCTAAGTCGCACAATTTCAACGTCAGGCTTGATGTGTTCGGGGTATTAAAGTAGGTTCTGCTGGTCAGCAGTGTTTAACTTTAGAACACTCAAAACGGTTACGTCCGTGTTTGGTGGAAGCTAGAATGTCACGCCGACGGTTTATTAAAGTGATACTAAACGCTGGACCCCGCATTCACTATATCCGCTCTCCCCGGACCCCGCATTCACTCTATCCGCTCTCCCCGGGCCCCGCATTCACTATATCCGCTCTCCCCGGGCCCCGCATTCACTCTATCCGCTCTCCCCGGGCCCCGCATTCACTCTATCCGCTCTCCCCGGGCCCCGCATTCACTCTATCCGCTCTCCCCGGGCCCCGCATTCACTCTATCCGCTCTCCCCGGGCCCCGCATTCACTATATCCGCTCTCCCCGGACCCCGCATTCACTCTATCCGCTCTCCGCTCTCCCCGGCCCCGCATTCACTCTATCCGCTCTCCCCGGACCCCGCATTCACTCTATCCGCTCTCCCCGGACCCCGCATTCACTCTATCCGCTCTCCCCGGACCCCGCATTCACTCTATCCGCTCTCCTCCCCGGACCCCGCATTCACTATATCCGCTCTCCCCGGACCCCGCATTCACTATATCCGCTCTCCCCGGACCCCGCATTCACTATATCCGCTCTCCCCGGACCCCGCATTCACTATATCCGCTCTCCCCGGACCCCGCATTCACTATATCCGCTCTCCCCGGACCCCGCATTCACTATATCCGCTCTCCCCGGACCCCGCATTCACTATATCCGCTCTCCCCGGACCCCGCATTCACTATATCCGCTCTCCCCGGACCCCGCATTCACTATATCCGCTCTCCCCGGACCCCGCATTCACTATATCCGCTCTCCCCGGACCCCGCATTCACTATATCCGCTCTCCCCGGACCCCGCATTCACTATATCCGCTCTCCCCGGACCCCGCATTCCGCTCTCCCCGGACCCCGCATTCACTATATCCGCTCTCCCCGGACCCCGCATTCACTATATCCGCTCTCCCCGGACCCCGCATTCACTATATCCGCTCTCCCCGGACCCCGCATTCACTATATCCGCTCTCCCTGGACCCGCATTCACTATATCCCGGACCCCGCATTCACTATATCCGCTCTCCCGGACCCCGCATTCACTATATCCGCTCTCCCCGGACCCTGCATTCACTATATCCGCTCTCCCTGGACCCTGCATTCACTATATCCGCTCTCCCCGGACCCCGCCACTCACTATATCCGCTCTCCCCGGACCCCGCATTCACTATATCCGCTCTCCCCAGACCCTGCATTCACTATATCCGTTCTCCCCGGAACCCGCATTCACTATATCCGCTCTCCCCGGACCCCGCATTCACTATATCCGCTCTCCCCGGACCCTGCATTCACTATATCTGATCTCCCACAGTACACAGGACATGGAAATGCAATTATTTTAGTAAATATAAACTGCTAAATACCTTTACTCATCAGCAGTACATAGGAGTCTTGTGACTTCTATCAGTGTCCAGCAGAGCACTGGTTAAAGCTTGTAGGTGGTGTTTTCTCTAGGAGGATGCAGAACCCCTGACTTGTGTGGACAGTGCTGATTGGCCCTGTGCTGATCACATGCACGCTCCCAAGAAAAAAAAAAAACCCTCTGTAGCAATACATACCAAACTGAGCATGTGCAGTGTCTCCACACGAGATGTCTTATCAGGAGATAAGAGGGGGACACTGGAAGGAGGGGAGGATCACAGGAGTTAGGGTCAAACAGTGTTTTTACACAATGCAGAGGATTAACCCCTTCGGTTCCACAGTGAGTATAACAAGCATGCTTTACTGCATCTACAGACTGATTGTACTGTTGGGGTTTAATAACACTTTAAAATCTCTTGAGGACTGAGCTGTTGAGATGCAGTCTGGGCAGTTATAAACTACAGAAAAGAGTGATCACTATTCACACACAGAGGAGGGACAGGGACACCACTCACAGACATGGATGGCAAAATTCCATTTACAGACAAAGTGAAGGAAAGAGAAGCCGTGAGCAGGTAGGTAGGTAGGTAGGTAGGGATAACATTCACACATGAGAGACGAGGGGGGGCAGGAGCGCCATTTAGAGACGAGAGGGGGGCAGGAGCGCCATTTAGAGACGAGAGGGGGCAGGAGCGCCATTTAGAGACGAGAGGGGGGCAGGAGCGCCATTTAGAGACGAGAGGGGGCAGGAACGCCATTTAGAGACGAGAGGGGGGCAGGAACGCCATTTAGAGACGAGAGGGGGGCAGGAACGCCATTTAGAGACAGGAGAGGGGGGCAGGAACGCCATTTAGAGAACGAGGGGACAGGAACGCCATTTAGAGACCAGAGGGGACAGGAACGCCATTTAGAGACCAGAGGGGGCAGGAACGCCATTTAGAGACCAGAGGGGGCAGGAACGCCATTTAGAGACCAGAGGGGGCAGGAACGCCATTTAGAGACCAGAGGGGGCAGGAACGCCATTTAGAGACCAGAGGGGGCAGGAACGCCATTTAGAGACCAGAGGGGGCAGGAACGCCATTTAGAGACCAGAGGGGGCAGGAACGCCAGTTAGAGACCAGAGGGGGCAGGAACGCCATTTAGAGACCAGAGGGGGCAGGAACGCCATTTAGAGACCAGAGGGGGCAGGAACGCCATTTAGAGACCAGAGGGGGCAGGAACGCCATTTAGAGACCAGAGGGGGCAGGAACGCCATTTAGAGACCAGAGGGGGCAGGAACGCCATTTAGAGACCAGAGGGGGCAGGAACGCCATTTAGAGACCAGAGGGGGCAGGAACGCCATTTAGAGACCAGAGGGGGCAGGAACGCCATTTAGAGACCAGAGGGGGCAGGAACGCCATTTAGAGACCAGAGGGGCAGGAACGCCATTTAGAGACCTAGAGGGGCACGAACGCCATTTGGAGACCAGAGGGGCAGGAACGCCATTTAGAGACCTAGAGGGGCAGGAACACCATTTGGAGACCAGAGGGGCAGGAACGCCATTTAGAGACCAGAGGGCCGGAACACCATTTAGAGACCAGAGGGGCAGGAACACCATTTAGAGAGCAGAGGGGCAGGAACACCATTTAGAGACCAGAGGGGCAGGAACGCTGTTTAGACAAGGGTGGCAAAACACCATTCACAGACAATGGGGGCAGGAAAACCATTTACACGAGGATGGCGGGGGTGGCTGAAACCATTTACAGATGGGGGGGGCAAGAATACCCTTCACAGACAATGGGGGTCAGATTACTAACAAAAGGAGTAGATTGGAACGTTAAAGTGATACAACCCTGAACAGCATGCGGTGTTTTCACATTTCAACTATGACTGAAGTGTACCTCCAATTTTAAGACCTCCATTTGCCTGCCTACACCCCCCTCATGCACATAAAACATTTTTTCACCCTAGGGCCTTCTAGCCGGTCTGCTGAGATCCCAAGTTTTTCCTCTTCTCCTCCAGCGGCGGCAGGGGCCGATCCTTATTCCTGTATTGGACTTTGCACACTTCCTGATGTGTGCTCACTGTTCAGTGCAGTATTCTGAGCCTAGGTTGGAGTGGTGACGCAACCCACAGGGGGTGGGTCCATGACAACTTGGGCTCAGAGGAAGTGAAGGATGCTGACCATCATTTAACCCAGAAGACTGATGGCATCTGGTGGTGGAAGGATTTGAATTAAATAAAAAGAATTGCAGCAAAAACTATTTTCACTTTTTGTTGGCTTCTTATTTTTAATGCAGAACTGTAGTTCTGCTTCCATCTTTGTTCCCACCTTGTGTTTCATGGTGACAGAGTCCCAGGACATGTCTATGCTTTTTATTGGTCCAAAGGGGGCAAATGCTTGCCGAATGGTGTCCTCTCCAAGCTCATAGTAGATGGATCCGACGTAGACGCGACACATTATGGCGAGCGCCCGCTGCCTCTGAGCCGCCATCTAGAAAAGAAAGAACACATCCCGTCAGGAGAAGAGTAATCACCAATACAAGCAACGCACGCAACAACGTCAACTGTGTGCTGCCCCACCCTTCCACCCCCATCTATAAGACACCAAACCCCCTTTTAATCTCACCACCTGCCAACTTCAAGCACCGCCAGCTTTTGATAGCAAGCGGCCCCGACTGGCCCTTCTCGACCTGCAGGAGGAGGAAACCGGTTAGGGAGTCTGAATAAGTCACGAGAGCAGGATCCGTTTACCTGAGGGCTGAGAGTCTCTTCCCCTGGACAGCCTGTTGGCTACTGGCTGAGGCTAACCTATCCTGTCCGTGCTGCCCCAGCACTCCAACTGAAAGAATGTCAAACAAGTGAGATCTCGACCTAATGGTCACAATGGCTATTAGGGCCTGTATGGATTGGCTTCTGTTCATTTCAGAATTGCCTAAGTCTATGGGAATGCAAAAGCTGCTAAAAGCAGATCAATTGCCCCTGCAATGTCAAACTATTGTCACAAGCACGCTGCATTTGCCCATCACAGCCCATCAACACAGGCACTAAAGGTCTTGAAAGTCATGCATTCAGGAAATAGTCATACTATACCCCAAAAACCTGGAGCCCAACACATGGCCCACCGGGTCCCTCTGTGTAGCCTGTGGTGTGTTGGGCCCTCTGCAGAGTGGCAGTGGGATGCCCGGTGCTGGGATGCCCTCTGCGTTCGGAACTGGAATGAAGCCAGTATTGTCATGTGGAGTGATCATTGACAGTGGCAGTAGTCCTGGCCAAGGAGACGATGGCAAAGCAGCAGGTAAGTAAACACTAATTGGGGTTAAACTACCCTGACACTGGCCACCAGTGCGGGGTGGGGGGATAAAAGCACTGTCACAATACTAATGCAGGGGGTGGGAGATAACAGCAATTTCACTGACCATTAATGAAGGGATGGGATTAACAGCATTGCCAATGATCACCAATGCTGGAGGTTAATTATTGCAGCCACTGCCACCAATGATGGGGACTATTATTGTGGCCGCTGTCACCAATGCTGGGGGCTATTATTGTGGCAACTGACACCAATGCTGGGGGATACATTGTGGCTACTGACACCAATGCTAAGGGATATTATTGCAGCCGCTGACACCAATGCTGGGGGATACATTGTGGCTACTGACACCAATGCTAAGGGATATTATTGCAGCCGCTGACACCAATGCTGGGGGTTATTGTTGTGGCCGCCGACACCAATGCTGGGGGTTACTATTGCGGCCGCCGACACCAATGCTGGGGATTACTATTGCGGCCGCCGACACCAATGCTGGGGATTACTATTGCGGCCGCCGACACCAATGCTGGGGGTTACTATTGCGGCCACCGACACCAATGCTGGGGGTTACTATTGCGGCCGCCGACACCAATGCTGGGGATTACTATTGCGGCCGCCGACACCAATGCTGGGGATTACTATTGCGGCCACCGACACCAATGCTGGGGATTACTATTGCGGCCACCGACACCAATGCTGGGGGTTACTATTGTTGCCAATGACACCAATGCTGGGGGTTACTATTGTTGCCAATGACACCAATGCAGGGGGTTACTATTGTGGCCAACGACTCCAATGCAGGGGGTTACTATTTGGGCCAACGACTCCAATGCTGGGGGTTACTATTTGGGCCAACGACTCCAATGCTGGGGGTTACTATTGTTGCCAATGACACCAATGCTGGGGGTTACTATTTGCCAATGACACCAATGCAGGGGGTTACTATTGTGGCCAACGACTCCAATGCAGGGGGTTACTATTGGGCCAACGACTCCAATGCTGGGGGTTACTATTTGGGCCAACGACTACAATGCAGGGGGTTACTATTGTGGCCAACGACACCAATGCTGGGGGTTACTATTTGGGCCAACGACACCAATGCTGGGGGTTACTATTGTGGCCAACGACACCAATGCTGGGGGTTACTATTGTGGCCAACGACACCAATGCTGGGGGTTACTATTGTGGCCAACGACACCAATGCTGGGGTTTTATTATGGCTACTGACACCAGTGCTGAGGGTAACTTCTGCAGCCACTGATGCCAGTGCTGGGGGGTTACTATTATGGCCATTGGCACTAGTGTTGGGATTATTATTGCAGCCAATGAACCCAATGCTGGGGTTTACTATTTTAACCATTGAGACTATCTGTTGAGGGTTATTATTGTGGTCACTGAAAGCAAAGCAGGGGGTTAGTACTGCAGTCACTGACACCAATGCTGGGAGCTGTCAATCATACCAACAAAGGGGCTTATTTTATTTTACTTTTTCTTCAGTGCGTGCAAAAAATACAGAAGCACTGAAATTCGGTTGCTGTGCATTACAGCCCATTCATTTTGAATAGGCAGCCTTGCATGACGAAACGCACAAAAACAAGCTGCTGTGGCCCTCTGGATGAGTCCGGCACTAAACTGAGGCCCTCCATACATTTCAAGTTGACCACCACTGCCCTAAACACATGGATACATGAACTCAGGGTTACTGAATGTAGAATTCTGGGAAAGTCTACAATGTTGGGGTTCACCAAAACCCCAGCTTCCTCTGCAGGCTGATGTTATCTTACACACACACACACACACGCACACGCACACACGTGATGGTAGGTAATCTGTCCAAGTGTCAGGAAAGAGTTTCATCATAGGAATGCATTGCTATTTAGAAAGGAACTGCTTTACGTTCTACTTAGAAATGCTCCAGCAGATGGTAGACCTGAAACAATGCTGCATGCAACAAGAACAAATGTGTGTCCATTGTGTCAGACATATGGCTTGGAGCACAGTTCTATCATGTTCTTTATAAAGTACTCTCCAGAGCCTCCCCCATCCTCTGGAACCCTCTACCCCAATCTATCAGAGTACCGTCTAATCTGTCTACTTTTAGGCGATCTCTGAAAACCTCTCTCTTCAGGGAAGCCTATCCTCCCTTCAGCTAATAAACCGAATCTTCTATTCCTTCTACCAGTCCATCCCCCACAGTTATTACCTTTTGCACCACCAGCCCCTCCCTCTTAGATTGTAACCTCCCAGGAGCAGGGCTCTTGCTGGGGGTTACTATTGCGGCCACCGACACCAATGCTGGGGGTTACTAATGCGGCCACCGACACCAATGCTGGGGGTTACTATTGTGGCCACCGACACCAATGCTGGGGGTTACTAATGTGGCCAACGACACCAATGCTGGGGGTTACTATTGTGGCCACCAACACCAATGCTGGGGGTTACTATGCGGGCCAACGGCCACCAACACCAATGCTGGGGGTTACTATTGCGGCCAACGGCACCAATGCTGGGGGTTACTAGTGCGGCCAACGGCACCAATGCTGGGGGTTACTAGTGCGGCCAACGGCACCAATGCTGGGGGTTACTAGTGCGGCCAACGGCACCAATGCTGGGGGTTACTAGTGCGGCCAACGGCACCAATGCTGGGGGTTACTAGTGCGGCCAACGGCACCAATGCTGGGGGTTACTAGTGCGGCCAACGGCACCAATGCTGGGGGTTACTAGTGCGGCCAACGGCACCAATGCTGGGGGTTACTAGTGCGGCCAACGGCACCAATGCTGGGGGTTACTAGTGCGGCCAACGGCACCAATGCTGGGGGTTACTAGTGCGGCCAACGGCACCAATGCTGGGGGTTACTAGTGCGGCCAACGGCACCAATGCTGGGGGTTACTAGTGCGGCCAACGGCACCATTGCTGGGGGTTACTAGTGCGGCCAACGGCACCAATGCTGGGGGTTACTAGTGCGGCCAACGGCACCAATGCTGGGGGTTACTAGTGCGGCCAACGGCACCAATGCTGGGGGTTACTAGTGCGGCCAACGGCACCAATGCTGGGGGTTACTAGTGCGGCCAACGCACCAATGCTGGGGGTTACTAGTGCGGCCAACGACACCAATGCTGGGGGGTTACTAGTGCGGCCAACGGCACCAATGCTGGGGGTTACTATTGCGGCCAACGGCACCAATGCTGGGGGGATTACTATTGCACCCCCCTCTTGTATTGAACTGTATTGTTGCTGTATTATCTCCCTTTATTGTGTAAAGTGCTGAGCAAACTGTTGGCGCCATATAAATCCTGTATAATAATAATAAAAAAGTATTGCTCCCCCCGTCATGTACAAGTGACAGACTAAAGTGTACCAATGCTATGCCTTCTAAATGTTGTTCCTTTTCAAGTGCAGGGAGCATAGAAGAGTTATAATAAAAATAAGGGGCAAGGTTTTATAAGGGGCAACTTGCTTCCATTATCAGGAGGTAACTTGGCTGAAGCCTAGTTCCATAGAAAACCTATGTGCATGGTAAAGGTTGGGGACATGGCGGCACAATGGTTGTACCCGACACGCAGCCCAAAGATTCCAAAGTACTACTGCCAACGCACACATTCCTGAAGAAATGGCTGTGTGAGTGCAGCACTGACCAAAGGCTGGAACCGAAGAGAGTCGGATCAACAGAACGCCACCAGCAGACCATCGATCTCTAGAACGGGTCAAAGCTCAAGTCAGCAATCGCAATATTACAGCAGAAGCAACATTTCGGGAGCATCAGGATTGGGACAAGATGAAGGGGTCCTGTGAGGGTTCTTGTGCTGTAACAATGTGATTGCGGAATAAATCTTTGGCCCCGTTCTGGAGATCCATGGTATGCTGGTGGCGTTCTCTCGCTCCAACACATCTGAGGGATGAGGTGACAATTACTTATTACATCTAAAAGGCACAAACAGATAAATAATGGAATTCACAATTCATACAAAAGGTGAGACACAGATCTAGGGGCAGCACAGTGGCTAAGTGGTTAGCACCTCCGCCTGGCAGTACTCGGGTCATTGGTTCGATTCCCAACCACGGCGCCACCTGCCTGGAGTCTGCATGCTCTCCCTGTGCCTGCGTGGGTTTCCTCCGGGTACTGTGAAAATGCGGAATAGACTCCCTCAAAAATTGGTTCTGGTGAGCTCAGTGGATTGGCTTTAA